TGCATGCACAGTCTAATCTATTTGAATTATATTTCTGCACCCTATATTCCTTTCCCCGATTATACAGAAACGACAGGAATTGACTGACCTCCGTTATTATGAAGTTCTATTCACTTCACAGATTGAAAGGTTTTCATAAAAGTTCTGCGACGAATTTTATCTTCAATAAAGGATTGTCTATCTGTTCTGTCTTCCCTGTCTGTCTGTCTCTGTTTATCTCTGTCTATCCTGTTTGTCTGTCTGTCTAACTCTGTTGTCTCTGCTATGTTGTCTCTGTCTGTTGTCTCTGTCTGTCTGTCTGTCTGTCTCTGTCTGTCTGTCTGTATGTCTGTCTGTATGACTCTGTCTGTCTGTTCTTCTGTGTCCTGTCTGTCTTGTTGTCTCTGTCTGTCTCCTGTCTCGTCTGTCTGTCTCTGTTGTCTGTCTCTGTCTGTCTGTCTCTGTCTGTCTGTCTGTCTGGTCTGGTCTCTGTCTGTCTGGTCTCTTGTCTGTCTGTCTCTGCCTGTCTCAGTCTGTCTGTCTCTGTCTGTTCTGTCTCTGCCTGTCTAGTCTGTGTCTCTGTCTGTACAGAATGGCTAAGACTTTTCTGTATTAGTTTTCTATTTTCTTTGGTCTCGCCTAACTTCTCGGATTTGCCTCATACTCTTAAGAGCTGCATATATCGCTGCCCAAAGCACATTTTTGACATTTTATTAATTTTTCGGTCTCCTAATTGTAGAGCGGAATTATTACTTTGATATAAAAAGCGAACAGTAAAACCTTTTCTAAATGGTAATTTTCTTTAAAAAATTTCCAACCGTTTTAAATAAACTGGCGTTTACGCGCTGCTGTAAATTCGATATTTTAAGCTCTTTTTCACAAAAATATTTAGAAAAACATCATTTGAAGTCATTTAAGTACTTTAACTCACAAACACAATAGTGTTTAGAAATTGCAGGAAATATGTATATCGAGGGCATGAGAGATATTTCCAAAAATTACATTTGTGTAATTAATGAAAAAAACAAAAACAAATGAACTTAAATATAAGCACGCAGCTAGCACAATATTTCAAAATATTTGAAAAAAAATTGTAGCCCTTTCTGACATATTTTATATGACATTATTTAAGGCATACACAATAATGTGAACAAATTGCCACTAATATAAATATTAACTACAAAGAGACAAGTCAAAAAATTACATGTTTGTTATTATAGAAAAAAAGAATAAAGCAATATGGGGTTTATTTTATCTTATATTGAACATTTAGAACTACCCCTATCAAATGTTTAAACAATAATTTAGAGGTGCTTTTGAGAAAATCTTGTTTTTGTTAATTTTTATAGTGCACGCAATACTGCGCAAATACTACTAAAATTTTCAAAAAAATACTACATGACCTTAATGAAAGAACTCACTATGGGCAACAAATTGTATATGAAGGAAAAATATCTTTGTTTCATTTTGTAATGGTAGGAAAACACCGAAAAATGCATACTTTTGAAATTGAGTTAACCGTGGAAATTGGACCTACGCCACCTTTATAAGTTTGTTATTGTGTTCATACATAATAGCTGGAAATCAACGTTTCTATGCCCTCTTCATAGAATTAAGCCAACAATGAAGACAGCAATTTATGAACACCGTTTTGTTGCGCAAGTAATGTTTAAGCAGTTGAAATTCTCAGCCAGTTTGTAGAGATTTGTAGTGAAAATGTAATGAGTGATGCAATGGGGAGGAAGTGAGTGAGACAATTCAATAATACATGAACCAATTTTCATGACGAAGAGTCATCACTGAGTGGGCAGCTTTGTTTCCAATGAAGTTTATGTTGAGCAAGAGAATGAAAAAAAAATCACAAATCACAGACCCATTTCCTCAAACAATTGTGTTCAGAAGTGACTGTCTCCATCGGCGGCATCTTTCTATGAAGAAGGCTTAGAAAAGTTGCTTTGCGGCTTTCACAAATGTAGGAACAACATTGACCACTACGTAGAAAAACGCTTTGGAAACGCTCTTTCATGTAAAGATACACTTTGTTTTGACAAAATAATTTTAATGAGCTTTTTCCCAAAACAGTACTTACTTTCCGTGTATTTGAAAAATGTGCTGCATATCTCGATATTGAATGAATTGCAAATAAACATTCATTTGGTAAAAAAATGCTTTTAGTTTATTTTGATTACAAAATTGATATAAATGGTTATTACAAAATATATACATGATATAAATAGTTATTACAAAACTGATACAAACAAAAAACGTTTCAAAATATGAACATTATTTGATAGATGTCTTTGAAATATACAAGAGCTAATTAAAATAACGTCTTTTTAAGGAATTTTAATCGTAGTAGACAGTTTTTCTGTGGACTTTCCTGAGAAGTAATTATTACATATGTCACACCCCTTCCCGTCACTAACTCAACGGAACTCGTAGCGCTGACGCCCCTTTCCTCTGGCACGTAACTCATGGAACTCTTTCCGACGACGACTGAGTGTGTGTGGCGCTCTTCGCAATCGCCAGTTGACTAGCAGTGGTGGCAGGGCCCTTCACGGGAGCGGTTGTTGCATCGTGGTTGTCGGTGGATACCACTGATTCTTGTATCAATCCAGGAATAATGCGAGCTTTATCCGTAGAACTGTCAGTTTGATAAGAGGGGTTTCTGGTCGTTTTAGATGTTACACATACTGGTCTTTGAGTTGTAGAAGTAGGCGGAGTAGTTTTTACTGTATCAGTTGATTGAGGAACACCGGAATAGTTAGAGGTTCCGGTAGCAGATCGTTCGTCACCTTTTGTACTTTCACTTGCAGAGATCAGAGCTTCAACCATTTCGTTAAGAACGTCGGATAAACTAGTAGATGTTTTAATATTGAGATTTACCGTTGATTCATTCTCAGTCTCAATTTCTCCAGTTTTGCCAACAGCAGAAGTAGAAACGTTATGTTGTCCAGAAGTCTTTTCGGAAGGGTCGGAATTCGCCTGCGTCGTGCTGGCTTCCTTCGTGACCTCAGGGGGCTGTGCGGGAGGGGGAAGAGCAGCCCGAGTCGGTCGCTTGAGTTTGGAAACCCCTACGTTACCTTCCTTTGCATGTGAATAATCTTTTTCAGGAAGAACCGGTCGAGGGGTAGCTTTACTGGGAGCTTTTGTAATCGCACCAATGGAGTCCTTTGATTTTGCGAACAACTGAGGCTTCATGACCATACGTGCGAGTCGCGCTGTGATGTCAACCTTGCTGACGCCATCACGATTTTCCCTTGCTGCGCCGGATGTTTTAGTGCTGGCCTGCGAATGGAGAGCTGTTTTACGAGAGTGTTCGGATGTCTTGGGGAGGCTGGTGGTTGTCCTCTCGGTCGGAGTGGCTGCCTTGCGGGTCGCCGTGCTGCCAGCCCGAAAGGCTGCGTTGGTTTGCGGGAGGGACCTTCTGGAGTTGGTCGTGGGTTCTGTTCTGGCCGCATGTCCGGCGGAGTGTCTGTTAGTGAGATGTCCCACGGATTTAACTAGAGGCGTCTTTACTTTTGTGCTGGTTGGGCGGACGAATCCTGTGGATTTCACCACGGCACGCTTCGGTTTCCCCGAGGCTCCCTTGGATTCGACGCCTGGTTTCGTGCTTTGCGCTGATTCGGCTGACGGACTTTCACTCTTAGACAGCGGTCGGTCTGGCGTATTGGATTGCGGGGTGGTTTGTTCCTTGGCCTGCGCCAGTGGATGCGCACTCGCAGGCAGCGGTTGGTCGGATGTTCTGGACTGCGAGGTGGTGCCAGCTGCCGTAGCCTCTTCAGTTGGATTCGACGAGGGCTTAGCAGTAGGAGTAGAACTTGTTTCATCAGACTTCTCTGTGTTGTCACTGGCGGAAGCAGATGTTTCCTTAAATTGTTTATCGGTGTCCGAGGAAAGGGCGGGAGGCCCGACTCCATTGGCTATTGCAAATTTTGCAGGAGGAGAGGGAGCTGAAGGTGTCACCTCACGTGCCAATGCTTCAGTCGATGTGGGGACATTTTGATTAGTCACCTGGAAGATAGTAAGACATGATTAGGATGAAATCCCATCAGTGTTTTAATATAGCTTGAATTTGCGGCTGTATTAATTATATTTTTTCTTTAATAATTAATTATAATTAATTAATTTAAAAATTAATTAATTATAATTAATTAATTTAAAAATTAATTAATTATAAATAATTAATTTAAAAATTAATTAATCATAATTAATTAATTTAAAAATTAATTAATTATAATTAATTAATTTAAAAATTAATTAATTATAATTAATTAATTTAAAAAAATTAAAAAGATGCATCTATTTATTTCCACGTGCTATAAGCCGCA